GCATGCAGGCGTGCGCGTGTGTTGCCTACCCGCACGGGGCTCTGCTCTGGAGCCTGGAGAAGGCTACATACACTGGGGTCTGACTTTTCAAAGCACGGGCAATATAGGAAGTTATACACGTGAGAGAAAAAGTTGGACCTTAGGCATGTCTGATTGTACGGTAGGTTGTGCCGGGTGCACACCTACCTGAGGCCCAGGTAGCTGAAACTACATAAAGTACGTTAAAGTACGTTAGACCGCTCTACCACGTCGAGCGCGGACAGCACGAATCAAAGCAAAAACGTGGACTCTTTACGACAAAATCAAACTCATTGTGTCTTTTCGAAATCGTTTCTGTAAACCGAGCTCCCGAGCTGTACGGCTACAGTACCGTCAAGTTTGAATTTTCGCCTGTGGTGGGCTGCCCTGTTGCCAACAGTGAAACACGAACCAATGCGTTCTACCTGGCACGACATTGGTTTCTTTTCACAGCCCAACACTTGATTTTACTAAAGGTTTCAAGAAATAATTATAGGAAAGAATTGAAAAATATTTTTAATGTTGGCGAACTAATTTGATTATAACAACATCTGTTTCGATGGTGGCAACACAACTGCACTCTAACAATAGGGGGGGCCACAATGCGTACACTTTAATTTGTGTTTCGACTTATTAAAAACCTTGATTGTTTGTTTCACAAATGTTGTTTCGCATTCGTGTTCTCTATGAAAAACATTTTTGAAAATTATTTCGCTGGTATTTTAACACTACGCACCGTTATTCAATATTCACAATGTTACTGCAGATTGGCACGACATGTAAACTAAAATTAATCCTTTTTTCTTCTTCTCTTCATTCAAGCTCGGTATTCGTTGTCCCCACACATTGCTGCAAGTGCGTGCCCAAGCTAGTGTGTGATAGGGAAGGCCAAACGCTGGTTTTTGTACTTAGAAGAAAAGATTCCGACAGTATTGTGCGTATCAACCTTCTCTCGCCATGGCGCTCGGAGATGCTAAAATCGAACTCTCTGAAGGAATCAAGTTGAGGTAAGCAAGTTTCCGAAGAATTTCACTTTTGAGACGTTGGGCTCGCCCCTCGGTCATTTACTAATATTGTCGCTCATCCTTAAAACTGTTAAAGGTCCAATAGATGTGATTTTTTCACCATTTGCGTTTTGTCGTTTGTGATGTCTGACATCTTCTAAACAGTGTAAAATGGGGTGGGCCTTGGCACGTTGACGCCGGCGACCTAACCCTCCCACTCCTATCGCTTTGGATGCTTTTCTCATAAAATACTCACTCAATGTGGTTGTGTTTTCAGTGATCTTCTTGGTGGGGGAGACGTTACCTTCACCGTGAAGGACCTAGGCAATGAGGATGATCCAACAGATTTCCAGACAGCTGAAGATGTGTTTGATCCAGATGCACTCATAGACAGTGCCAACTTTGATACAGTAACTGTACCAGATGGATTTGAAAATAGCACGCCATTTGAAACTTTGAAAGAGAGAATGACTGATGTTCACCCGAATGGACTGGTGAAGAAAAGAGTAAGTAGTACTTACATTATATCAATTTCAAAATTTGCTTGCTAAGATTTCTAAGTAGTTGTTTCTGTACAGATTATTAGAGAGGGAATTGGAGAAATTATTTCCCCTAATGCCTTAGTCCGTCTTCACTACGAGGGTTATATGGAATTCAATGAGGTCCCGTTCGACTCCACCCTCCTTCGTGGCCAATCAGCTGAATTTGTCTTGGGCTGCTCTGGTATGATACCAGGGTTGGATATGGGAGTTGCCACTATGAGGAGTCGTGAGAAGGCAGAGTTTATTCTTCAGCCGTCTGTTGCATTTGGTGCAATAGGCTGTCCTCCACGTATCCCTCCAAGTAAGTGGCATATGGCTCTATGAAGGTTCTGCCTTACTGAAGTTAACATCTGCATGGCCACACACTATTAATTTCAATATTTCAATTTTATTTTTCAGATTCAGAAGTTTTATTTGTTGTTGAAGTGATGAACTGGAAAGAAGGGACAGAGGCTGCAATCGCTCAAGCTACAGCCAACACCAAAGGAGAGAAATCATGGGATGTGTGCAAAAGTGCTGTCTCTGCTTTGTTGAAGGAGGGTATTACTCTCTACAATGAGAGGAGGTTCCATGAAAGCAAGATCAGGTAATATTATTGTGCTTGGATGACCACTTTTAGACTAAGAAAACCAACTGTACTAAGCATCATTACTGTCCTTGTAGGTTGCAGAAAGCCAAAAATATTCTTGCCAAATGTCACCTGAAAAATGAGGAAGAGGAAGAAGAGTTTTACAAACACATGTTTAAGGTTTCCCTTAACTTGGCAATAGTTTTCAACGAACTGCATGGCAATGCAAGCTTTGCACCATCTGCAATCATTCATCTCAAAGAGGCTGATAAAATTCAACCTAATAATCACAAAGTTCATTGCCAGTACGTAATTAAAGTTCATGTATTTTTGTTTTGTTATTGTTGTCTCTTATATTTTTAAATTATAACATTTTTTTTAGGTGGGGCAAAGCACTTATGTCTTTAGGAGATTTAGAAAGAGCAAAGGAACATCTTTTGAAAGCAATGAGAATCAAGAATGATGACAAAACTATTCATGATACTTTGAATAAGGTTTGGATTACCAATTAATTTTCATCAATGTGAAAGTGTTATTTTGTCTTTAAGTATGGACAATACTTTGACTTATTTGTCTTTTACAGTTGGAACAGAAAATTAAGAAAGAAAAAGAAACTGAGAAAGAAACATGGAGAAGGGCCTTCAATCCTGAATCAAAAGTGGTTGAAGAAAAGGTTGGTAATCGAAGTATTGGTTGTGTAGTCTACTTTGTGCTCTTTACTTACTTAACTATGTCTCTGATTTCAGGCTCAGGAAGAAATGTCTCCAGAGGCTCAAGAAATGCTTGCAACTCTTGAAAAGTTTAGTGCTGATCCTGATCAGTCCATGATGATTTTACCTGCTGGATTTACTCCTAAGGAAAGAGAACTCTTTAAATCTCTTGCAGAAAAGCTCAATTTAAGTTTTGCAATCCGAGGGAGTTCTATTTCTATCTCTAAGTAAGAATTCAAAGCTGAAAATCATTGCCATCTGACATGCCATCGCCATCCATCCATTTTATTTATTAATTTTTTTATATCTTAACAAATGTTAATGACTTATTGTCCTGTGCCTTAATTTTTTAAAAGGTGTTTAATGTCATTCTTTTTACAAGACATAGTTATTTTGTTGTAGAACTACCTGTATGAAGTATCGGAATATTTTTGTATTTTGATAATAAAGTTACTCTTTTTTAAGAAATGTATTCTTTTATTTCATGTGGCAAAAAAAGTATTGATGTGAGGAGCAACATTCTCTGGGTTATTGAGGTGCACATGATGGGATCCCTCAACAAGAAGCCTCTGGTAACTTGCTGCTGATTCTTCAATTAATTTTTCAAATTGGTTAAAGGATTTCTGTTGCAGTGAACCCTCTGCAATATTTACAAATCCACTGGAGCCTAAAATTGTTAATACATGGCATTTAATTTGTTTGGCAGCCTCTTTTAGCACTTCCAAACTAGGTCTATTAAAATCACTTTGTCTGAGCTTCTGATCTCTGGTAAAATATAAATGGCTGGGTTTTGAAGGATGGGCCTTGGAACCCCTCTTCATTAAATGGTGGACGTGTTCTGGCATCACAGAGTGAAGAGTTGAGCACAATGCTTCAACCATTTCATCAGCAGTATAAGCTGGCGGTTCCCGAGAAAGATCTTTATCTGCCTTCAGAGACTTTTCAGTTATTAATCTCAAACGAGGCGCCCCTGTGACTCCACCCATCCCTATTGTGGCCATAAAGGTCCGTGCACAGTCTAAACTTACAAATTTTTCTACCTCTTTGGGGTAGAGAGAGGCATAAATATGACCCATAGTGCTACCAAATGAATGCCCAATGATAGAAAATTTTTCCCAACCATAGTATTTGACAACTCGCCTGAATGCAATTACAAAGTCTATGAAGGTATAAACCATCCCTGGAGGAATGTGGGAGGATTTACCATGCCCTATGGCATCTAAGGCAAGGAAAGCTGGTAAATTCAACAATGGTGCCAGTCTGTCAAAGGTGCCTGCATTATCTTCAAAACCGTGAAAGCCAACAACGGGTGTCACATCCTTCCTTCCCCACCATTTCCCTGAAAAAATAAAGTGTTGTTTAATCAAAGGTGCTGTTCAAATTATAGACACAGATACCTGTTTAAATTCATACCTGAAATATGGCCCCACGGAACAGGAATCTCAATCTCTTCATATGCACTCAACGTGGGAACAGTGGTTGACTTTAAAATTGTTGAGGAGTGCAGTTGTAAATTACAGACAGATCCAATTTTCTGGAAATGTAAAGCACCTCTAAGACCAGATGCTGCAGAATACAAACTTGGATTCATGGTAATTTTCTGCAATAAGTAAGTAAAACGATATAACCTTAGTTTACCAGACTAACACAAGCAATAGTTGTGTAATTTAATCTCACATAAGTAAAAGGAAGCACTCAGATAAGACCTGAATATTTTTAAGCGACACAAGTAACTAATTCAGTTTGTGACACTTACGTTTTAAAGCATTAAAACTAAGAATACTGAATGAAGTCGGGTGGCGAGGTTAAGTTTACTTCCACTTTTTCAAGAACGAATCTTCGCCAATAAATTTGAGGGACAGACTCTTAAGCCAGAAATAGGTGTTCTCTATCACTTACAGGTATATTCGAAGAAATTATTGGTGAACTGATATCCCACAGACTTCGATGAATACCATTATTATTGTTTGTCTTGCAGTATGTCTTCTGCTTTCCCACAACTGGCTGATATAACCCTGTTGGGGGTTGGGGCAAAGAGGAAGGGGGGCAAGGTTACTTTGAATGCTCTCAGTCAGGTGATCTGTTGTGATCTCTGCACCTAGATTTTCATCAGCACACCTTCATGCCCCAGCTGGTTGAGGGCAATGTGCAAATGATAGCAATTTTAGTGTAGTCCCAGCCCCC